ATGAGATGCAGACCTCTGAAGCCAAGAACTGTGGCACTTCTAACTGAGGGTGAATAAGTGTAATATCAGAATTTGTTAAAACCCAGAGACAGACACCTTACTAAACCCCAAATAGGAGAACTCTATAGCAAGTCTTCCAAAACGGAGGGGTTTGGTCTAGGAGTTTACAAACCAATCGGTTCACCGCTATTGGTCCAAACTTATGCTAATTAGGGCTTGGAGATATGCTAATACTATTGGTCAGTTCTTGAGTCCCAAGCCTGTCCCACTTTCATTTTCTGGTGGCACCTCAGGAAGCAGGAGGCTGAGGTCTTGGGATGGGACTGCAGCACTGTGTGAAACAGGCTTCTGTATCCATACTGTGCCCAGACCTGGTGGCAGAGAAGGGCAGGTCGGTGGCTTTGTCCTGCCTGTGCTTTGGGCTCCCTGTGGCAGCAGGCCGGCTTGGCACTTGCCATTTATGAGGCCACTCCACTGCTCCGTGGCTCCTTTTCAGCAAGGACCAGTAGGTTAGCTGTCCCGCTGAAGCTGAGAAGCCATGTCACAATCGATTTTTTTTCCTTTTTTTTTGGCGGTCTTGGGAATTGAACTTCCACTGAGTTACATAACCCAGCCCTTTTCATATTTTGTCTTGAGGCAGAACCTCACTAAATTGGCCAGGTTGACCTCAAACTTGTGATCCTCCTGCTTCAGCCTCCCACACTGCTGGGATGACAAGCATGAGCCACCGTGCCTTTCTTTGTGGAACCTCTCCTGTTTTCTGTGTGATAAACTGCTACCCATCCTTCAAGACCTGGCAACAGCGCTTCTTCCTGTGGTCTCTCCCCTGCACACCCAGAACTGATTAATGTTCCCTTTTTCGAAGGACATTACTAGAAGGCTGGGTGCCCAGGTTCATGACTACACATTATATTCTGATGTCCTTGTATCTCCTCCATACACCTCTAGTCCCTGCATGGCTATAACCCTGATCTATTCACCTCAAATTTCTCAGCACTTAACCACAATTAATTTTTCCTATTGAATTATCTCACTTTTCTCTGCTTCTACCACCCAGGAGTCACCATTTCATTCATGGTGGCCTTAGGGTAACAGTTTTGGTTACTGGTTTCTCGGCCTCTTTTCTGCCTACACCAATCTAAGCTACCGGCTCACTCCAACAGGTTGGTATTCAAAACCCCTGAAGGAAAGGAGAGAGAATTGTGAAAAGAACCACTAGGTGGAGCCAGACCTGAGTTTTAGCTCTGGTTTTGCTACAGAATGATGTGACATGGCATGTACCTTTAACATTATCTGTTAAATAGAAGCAATTACCTCCTTCCACAGGGTAGTAGAGGGGGGGATAAATGAGAAATTCATGTGAAAATATGCCCACGTTACCTAAATGTTAGATATTACAACTTTCTTTTTTCCTTCTTTCCTCTTTTTGAAATGGGGTCCTTATTGCCTAGGCTGGCCTCAAAATCTCTGGGCTCAATCAATCCTCCTGCTTCAGCCCTCTAAGTAGCTGGGTCTACAGGTGTGCACCACCATGCTTGACCCATTGTTGAGATGCAGAATATATAGGAGCAGAATGAGTAGCTATAAAGTGTCTGTCCTGGGTATCAAGCTGCATCCTGAAACTCCAGGTGATCTTGAGCAAATGTCTGTGGTTGTAAATGAAGAAGAGACCTCTAAGATCTTTTCTACCCTCAGGTTCTGTTTGATCCAGAAACCACATCTCGCCTGATGTGAGACCAATCCCCAAGGCAAAGGGGCAGAGAGTCTTCTCTGCCCTTAAAATTAAACTCAAATATCAGAGGACATGTGTGCAGTCCTTTTCTATTTGTGGAGCACTTTCGTATCCTTCATTGGATTTGAAAAGGGTTTTATTAGGAAGAAACCATAGCCAAATATTAACAGCTTTTAATCTCCAGATGGTGGAATTTGGCCTAATTTAAAATTTACTTGTGTTTTAAACCTTCAAAATCTCCTTCAAGCTGGGCGCAGTGGCACACGCTTGTAATCCTAGCTACTCAAGAGGCTTGGGTATAAGGATCACAAATTCAAGGATAGCCTTAGCAACCTAGTGAGACCCTGTCTCAAAAATAAATAAATAAATAAATATATA